TGCCTCACTTGGATGCTACCTAGAAGCCAATCTGAAACCTGAACTATAGCCACTCACAGTTCATTTTGCTGTGTTGAATTATAGTCGATGTGATGAGTTGATCTACTTCAGGGTATTCCCAGAATTTCCTGCAAAGATTTAAAGAATCCATTTCTCTAGCTCCCTTTTCTCTTCAATCCCACCTCCATCTCTACTTGGAGTCGATGGGATGCTGCCTTTTTGCAGTCAATCGCTCAGTACAGGGCAGGCATGGTCTACAAGGGTCCACACCACAGTCTTGGCCAGACCCAGTGACCAGGAAGAATGGGTGTGGTTTTCTCCCAGTGTGTTCATGTAGAGTAGGCAGTTTTTTCTCCTTCAGTGTCACCCCTTTTTCCATTCATTTGGCTTGTGAGAGCAGGGTTTTTTTCTTTGTCTGTATCCATTGATATTTTCTGATTGTAGGCTTCCACTGAACCCAAGCCAAAACAAAGCAAAAGAAGGCAAAAAGCAAGTATAGGAAAGATCCCAGGAAGCTTACTCCCAGGATATTCTACATACCCCAGAGTGCTTAGTTTTTATTTATTTATTTATTGTTCATATTAATACATTTTATTTTATTTATTTATTTGTTGTCTTTCAAGCTATTTTAATTTCTGTATCATTATAATGTTTTATCATCTGGTAGAGCAAATTGTCCCTGATTTATCTTCTTTTGCGGAACTTTCTTGGATATTCTCACTATTCTCACATGTTTAGTTTTTCTGCAATAAGCTAAGTGTCAGTATCTAGTTCAGAAGAGAATCCTGTTGGTTTTAATGAATCCACATTCATTCCACATACATTTATAATACGGTTTGATGAGAACCGACTTGGTTACATTGTGGAGGCTTCGATCCAACAAGAAGACCTCAGTTATTATTTATTCAAATTTTGCTTTACAACTCTTGATGAATTTTTTTGTTTTTTAGACAAGGTCTTACTCTGTCATCCAGGCTGGTGTGCAATGGCACAGTCATGGCTCACTGCAGCCTCAACCTCCCAGGCTCAAGCTATCCTCCCACTTTAGACTCCCCAGTAGCTGGGAGTACAGGTGGGCACCACCACACCAGGCTAATGCTTTGTATTTTTTTCGTAGAGACTGGGTTTCCTTAGTTTTTATTTATAATTAGCAAGAGGAATAGGGTGGAATATACTTGTCTCCATCTTGTGTGGAATTTGAGGTGCCCAAAGCAACCTTTCAAAGACAGATTTTTAATCTAAGAAACTAAAACATTTTACCACAAATACACTCTTTCAGTGAAAACTAATGTTTTATTTTTATTTTTTATTATTTTATTTTTGAGATGGAAGCTTGCTCTGTGGCCTAGGCTGGAGTACAGTGGCGCAATCTCAGCTCACTGCAACCTCTGCCTCCCAGGTTCAAGCGATTCTCCTGCCTCAGCTTCCCAAGTAGCTGGGACTACAGGCACGTGCCACCATGCCCGACTAATATTTTATATTTTTAGAAGAGACACTGTGTTAGCCAGGATGATCTTGATCTCCCGACCTCATGATCTGCCCGCCTCAGCCTCCCAAAGTGCTGGGATTACAGCAGTGAGCCACCATGCCTGGCCTGGGAAAACTAATATTTATTAAACACCTATGTGTCTATACTATATGACAAACTTCCTAACAACCCAACAAATAAGCTATTTCTTTTTTATTATAGCTGAATACACTCAGCCAGCAGATGGAAAGTAACATCTATGCTATGCTCTGTGCTTGAGGTTTTTGTTTTTAAAATGTGGAAAACAACAAATACTGTAGCATGCAGACTATTCAATATTGGTCATTGTTTATGTATTTGTTTATTAAAGAATAAAGCCAGGCGCGGCTAATTTTTTGTGTTTTTAATAGAGACAGGGTTTCACCACGTTGGCCAACCTGGTCTCGAACTCCTAACCTCAGGTGATCCACCTGCCTTGGCATCCCAAAGTGCTGGGATTAAAGGTGTGAACCACTGCACCTCTCCTCACAGTGACAGTCTTTGAACAGTAAATATTCTCGATCTTTGCAGGTCAGAAAGTATCTTCATTTTTTACACTGGTTTTAGAAAGAAATTGACTGGGTTTAGAATTCTAGGTTGCTGGTTACCTTTCTTCAGCATCTTGTAGATATACCACTGTTCTGGCATCTATTGTTGCTGAAAAAAGTTGAATGTCAGTTTGTCTTTTCTTTGAAGGCTCTGTTTTCTAGTAGCTTTTGAGTTTCACTAAAATGTGTCTAGATGTATATTGCTATCTAGTTTGGGAATCATTGTGCCCTTTTAATTGAAAGTATATATCTTTAGTTCTGGACACTTTTTATTATCTTTTAAATATATTTCTCCTTCCCCATCCTATGTCCTTCTTGAATGTCTTAGAAGTCTTTCATCTACCCTGCACAACTTAACATCTATTAAATCCTCCCTCTGAGGTGGAGGTTGCAGTGAGCCAAGATCACGCCACCGCACTGTAGCCTGGTGCCTGGTGACAGAGTGAGACTGTGTCAAAATAAAATAAATCCTCCCTCTGTGCTGTGTTCTAGGTGATTTCCCCACTTTATTAAATTTTCTTTCAGTTTCATAAATTTTCTCATTAATTGTGTCTAGTCTTTGGTTTAGCCTGTCAAAATAAGATCTAAATAAGTTTTTTCTTTTAGAACTATTTTGTTTTCAAGTTTATCTGTTCTTGTTTCAGAACCTCCTGTTCTTATTTATGGATTTTAGTCCATGATCTCTTTGAGCATTTCAGCATACTTCTTTCAAAGTTCTTTGTTGTTATTGTTGTTGTACTTTGGGCCCGGGGGTACATGTGCACATCCTGTATCCTGCAGGATTGTTGCACAGGTACATACATGCCATGGTGGTTTGCTATCTCCATCACCGCCCCACCCCCCCCATCTTTCTCTCATTTCTGATTCTTTAAGAATTTTGCCATTTGTTGGTCCTTAACATTGCATTTCCTTTAAAAATAAATAAATTTGTATCTGCAAGTTTATAGGAGTTTTCTTCTGAGAAATTTTTGTTCATGGCTTGGTTATGGATGCAGCTGCTTCCTTTGGAGAAATTTTTAGGTTATTTCTGCTGGGGCCTTATATGGTTTTCTGAAGCTGAACCAAATGTTATGTTTTGTTAAATGGGACTCCTTCACCGTGCAGATAGTATGAACTGGTTTCTGTATTCACATGCAATCACACCTCTTGTTTGTATGACTTTGTTTCAGCCAATGACCTGAGATTGGGAACTTGTTTCTTGCAATGACCCTGGACTAGTAGATACTGATTTTTCAGTCCTCATATTGGAACAGGGCTTTCCCAATTCTAAATGTGCCCATTTCTGCTCCTTACTATCCAATGTGACTGCAGCTTCAATTCTTAACATCCATTCCCCAACGTTATTGAAACACCCCAATTCCAAAGGTACAACATACCCAGTCTAGGGACCTCTATGAGCCATGTGGTTTTCAAGTTCTTTGTGTTCCCTCTCTATTTCTATCACCTGCATACTTCCCTTTCTTCCTTTAGAACTTATTTTTTTCTATGGAAAAGAGATAAAGAGGAGTATTTACTGGGGAAATTTGAGTGAGGAAAAGAGGAATATTTTACCAGCATGTCCGTGTCTTTGAAGTAGGAATGGGAATATTTCCCATATATGTTCAGTCTGTATCTAAAAAGAGAAGTGAGTGCTGTTGGTATTTTTCACCTCTGTAAGTAAAATAATGTGTGAAAAATACCAACAGCCCTCAGGTAAATGTCATTGTCACCGTTTTACAGATAAGGAAGCAGTTTCAGAGAGTTAACCACTTGCCCTAAGTCACAGCTAGTCATTAGTGGGGCTAGAATTTAAATTCAAAGCTATATATTACTTTGCACTATTTTTTTCTGCCTCACTGTTGTTCAATTATTTACTCAATAATTTACTTTTAATTTTGCTTATATCGTTTTGCCCTTGACATCAGGTTTGGACAGTATTCCAAAGGGAAGTGGTCTGGCACGGTGGCTCACAGCTATAATCCCAGGGCTTTGGGAGGCTGAGGTGGGAAGATCTGCTTGAGGCCAGGAGTTGAGACTGGCCTGGGCAACATAGGGAGACCTCCTTGCTGCAGAGAACCAATATGCAACCTGACTAAATTTCATCTAAAAATACCTGACAATGATTGTTGCATAATGCATATTTCTTTTAGAGACTCCCCTTATTTTCATACCATAATTATCATGGGCTTCATTCTTGTCTTCTTTTTTTTTTTTTTTTTTTTAAATGGGGGGACCGAGTCTTGCTGTTGTCACCCAGGCTGGAGTACAGTGGTGCAATCTTGGCTCACTTCAATCTCAAACTCCCGTGTTCAAACGAGTCTCCTACCTCAGCCTCCTGAGTAGCTGAGTCTACAGGCAGATACCACTATGCCTGGCTAGTGTGTGTGTGTGTGTGTGTGTGTGTGTGTGTGTGTGTGTGTTTATTTTTGGTAGAGTTGGGGTTTCATCATGTTGGCCAGACTGGTCTCAAGCTCCTTACCTCAAGTAATCCGCCTGCCGCAGCCTCCGAAAGTGCTGGAGTTACAAGTGTGAGCCACTGTGCCTGGCCAAGCTTTATTCGTAAATGCAACTTACTTCTGGGAAATAATTGTTTAAGGACTGTATAAAGCCTGCTTAACTAGCACCTTCCTGCAGCCCCTTCTCCCAAAATACCCTCATGCTTGGTAGCATTAGACTTAAGATTGACAGCACTTCTATGAATGGCAGACACTCAGGCTAATGGCTGTCTTTTTTACAAAATATAAAAATAATGTTGCTAGACTGATGCAGTAGCTCACCAGCACTTTGAGAGGCCAAGGCAGGAGGATTGCTTGAGCCCAGGAGTTTGAGACCAGCCTGGGCAACATAGTAAGACCTTGTCTCTTTTAAAATTCCAAAAAATTAGCTGGGCATGGTGGCATGCACCTGTAGTCTTCAGCTTCTTGGCAGAGGTGAGGCAGGAGAATCGCTTCAACCAGGAAGGTCGAGGCTGCAGTGAGCACTTATTGTGCCACTGTACTCCAACCTGAGAGTTGTTTTTTTTTTTTTTTTTTTTTTTTAATAGTTTTGCTAGATAACTCTCCATTCCCACCCTCCCAATATGTCTGACACCACAGACTATACTCATTCCTTTGCTATTTGCAAGTTTATAGTAGCCTACCGCAACTGCCTCATCCACAGATAGAATTTTCTTCATTGTCTTTTGGAATGCATTTAACCAGTAAGCTTCTTTTAACCGATAAAAACATCTAGATTTTGTATTTTGCATAACATTGATATTCCTTTATAGTTCATATTGGATGAAATGTCTTGAACACAAGCAAGTTATCTTTTTTTTTTTCCATTCTGTATGCCAGACTTTTAAAGAAAGAATCTGCGTTGAGTTCAACTTTGGCTGCTTGCTCTTTTGCTGTGAGTAGCAGTTTTCAATCAAGTTTCCAGTGGCAGCACCAGTGGGGAAAGTCTGCATTTTTTTAGGATGACCGTGACCGACCTCACTCCTAGAGCTATTGGATTCCAGCCTGTTTTGGGGGAGTTTATTATTTTGGTTATTACTTAAAGCACTTAAGTCTTCTGAATCTCACTGAGTTTTTTGTTTTGACTTTTCAAATGTTCTTCACAACTCTTTTGTAGGAAATTTAAAATGTTATACCCAGAACTGTACAAGTACTTTACTAGTGAGGTTAAACTAAATGTAACAATGCAACAACAGATCAAAAGCACACTAAGATTTCACTTGTGTCAGTTTTGAAAACTCTAGACCTCTTACAGCAGCCACAGACTTGTTTCCTTTCATGCAGTTCCCCTTAAAAAGCAATTTACAGTTGTTTTTTTTTTCAATCCTCCGTAGATTCTGCTTAATTCAGAAGAAATTGCATGCAATCCCTGGCATTGTTCCAGAAGTTAATTTGTGAATGAATGAAAGCCATGATCTTTGCCTTGATGTAAGTTGAAAATGAAATAATCTTTTGTTTGTATGAATATTTCCCATAGGAACAATGATATGCAGGGGTGTCCAATCTTTTGGCTTCCCTGAGTTACATTGGAAGAATTGTCTTGGGCACAAATAACATATACTAACAATAGCTGATGAGCTTAAAAGAAGAAGAAAAAAGAGCAAAAACCTCATACTCCTTTTTTTTTTTTT